CAAAGCAACAAGGGCACTGAAAGTGAAGTCACATTGCCAATGGCTTTATAACCTTCAAGCTTAATGTGTTTGGCTTTCAAGCTGCCTGAAAACAATTGCTTTCTAAGTGTGTAATGTGAGGTTTTTGAATGAAAATTAAGACGTGGAAAGAGTTTAGCAGCTCTCCTTTCAAGGTTTGTTTTCAATATGACCCCTATTGAGAATGTGATTTATTAACCATGCTATTCTCTCCATAAAGCCCCTGCAGGGGGCCGTTCCCCACCAATATTTGCAATAATAAACCAAGATTAAGGCACTGTGGTTTTGATAAGTGGAAAACAAGCAAATGATCGCGTGAAAAAAAAAACCAAAAACAAACAACAAAACAAACAAAACAATCCTAGCCCAAGTTCTCACCTGAGAATCTTCATTTCCCATGAAAGGCAATAAAACTTATTTCTGTGAGTTAGTTGGAACCTTATAAGGATCAGCAGGGGCAGGGAGTTGGGAATCCTTGCGTGGTGTTGGTGCAGAAATAAGGCTGCTCCGAGGAATTCCACCTGGCAGGAGGGAGAATGAATTTGGGGTTTCTCTGGCTCTGCTCCTTCCTTCCTGTCCCATTGGGTGCTGCTCAGTTTGGGAGAGCGGGAATTAACCATTCCCAGTCCAGTTTTCCATCTGGTCCTGGAGTTGGAGCATCAGCGAGTCCATCCCTTTGGGGAGGCTCCAGAGTTTGACCTTTCCGGGCTGGTGGGAGCTTTGCAGCAAAACCCGCTGGGTCTGGAGGGACACACTGAGGTGTGAAAGGGAAGTTAAAGAGAATTATTAAACTCCAGCTGGGATAACAGTCTCTTTAGCACATGCTAATGAGGGGAAGAGTGCAGGCAGAAGGGATTTGTAGGTCCAAAGAAAACACTGAAAGCAAGGCATTTTTATTTATTTATTTACGTATTTCAGCCCCAGCCAGCACAGACAACACAGTTGTGTGATTGTTCCAGCCACCCAAATACATCAGCCACGTGTGCTGGCACAGGGCTGTGCTGCTGCAGCTCTGGAGCTCCGGGCTCACAGCTGGCCCTCCTTCATCCCGCTCGGAGCACAAGCAGAGAAAATGAGCATCTGTTTGCCCTCGACGCTGTAGACAAACCCTCTGGCTTCGTCCTCACCGATGAACAAAGAGTGGTTTGGGGTTTTTAAGGAATATTTTTAATTCTTGCTATATTTGTCTTTTAACAAAAAATAAAAATAAAAATCCAACAGAAACAACCAGCCACAAAAATAGAGCAGCTGGAAGATTTCCATGTGAAAGCCCTTATGATTGAGTTCTAAAGAATGACAATTCTTATTCTGCCTGGTGCGGGTTCAGGGCTAAATTATATTTTTCTTTTTCCCCCCCACAGTTCTTAATTTGATGTTTAATTTTTTTACCACCCCAATGAATCATTGTGACCATGGGTAAAGAAAGCTTTGCCTGTCACTTTCTCGGGATTGCTCATGGAAACTTCTGGAAAAGTCTTTGAGTAAAACAGGAGTGGCAAACCTTTCCTGATACAGCCCAAAAAAACCCCCAACCAACCAAAAACCCCTTTTAATGTCTGAAAATAAGAAAAAACCAGTAACACTCTGGGCCATATTAAGGAAAAGGTGTTATTTTTGTACATTAGTGGTAGCTGAACAAAAGTCCATGAGCTGAGAATTTGAGTCCTGGGGGACACCTGAGATTGCAATACACGGTCAAGGATCTTTTTGATGCCGTGCACATCTGAGGACTTATTAGGACGTGTATTTATATATTTTAGATAATTATTAATAACCCAGCATTAATGCGTTGAGCACTAGATATGAATCCAATATGAATTGTTGCATTTTTGTTCATTTGAGATGTTCTTATAAGGACTTAGCTGGCACTCTGGGCAGGTCCTGACATCCTCAGACCTGTCAATCCAGGTGGCACTGCTGCAGCCTGCCCTGGTTTCTCTCACTGTCACCACTTCACGTTGGGAGCTCTTCCAGCGACCCCTTCCACTCCTGGCCTTCCTGGGACATTTCCCTCTGCACTTCTGAAAGCTTTCCCGTTCCAAATGTAAAACTCACTGTCCACAGCACAAGCACTCCTAATTCACCAAGCCAAAGCAACCTGTTTGGATGCACATTCTCTGATTCCTGGGGGAGAGAGATGGTTAGAGATGCCTTAATTAGAGGTGTCTCAGTGAGCCTGCAGACAGTTCTTGCCACTGACACAGAGTCTGGGCACGTTGGGAAATCTTTATTCACTGAAATGCTCAGTGGGTAAAATATTTTCTCTTCCTCTTAAGCAAATAAATAAATAAATTACGTGTAATTTGCTGACACAAACTATTTGCTTTTAAACAGCCACTAGGCCTTGGGGAGATATTTATGATGTAGGCTGGATTGACTTTAGCAAGCAGCAGCTGGTGCTTTAACACTGCATGGTGTTGGAATGATCTTCTCTGCTGCAAGGTAGAGAGGCAGAAAATGCAGCTGCATCTTTGTGGAGCTAATTTTAAAAGAAGCAATGAGCTGGTAATTACCACTTTTTCCAGCTGGTCCTTATGAGGGTAAAAGGTTTATTCATTTAGGGAGGGTGAAAGAGGAAAATACTAAGCAGGCTGCAAACCGGGGTTGATAAATATCCCAGCTGGAGACACTTAAAAATTTAAGCTCTTGTTGGTTGGGAGGAGCTGGGGTTGAAGATTAGTCCCTCAGGGTTCTCTGCCAGTCCTGGGGTTACTCCCTTTGTGTAGGAGTTTCCTCAGGAGAGATCTGTGATGAGTTTCCCGATGGCTCTGCTCCCTCCAGGCTCCTCAAATCCTGGGGGAAGGAACCGAGCTGAGCTCCTTCTGACAGGTACAAAAGAAGGGGGGGGTTTTCTGGGCAATGTTTTCAGTCAGCATCTCCTTTCTGCTTGATTCATACAAATAAGTGATAAGCTCCATTAATGCAACAAATATAAATATTTATGAGCCCACGTAGTTAATGTTTGGCTGTATTTGTAAACAAGAGCATCTCGCAAGAGCTTCTTTTTGACAAGTAAATAAAGTAAGTATAGAGGGTGTTCGTGTGTTAAATTAATCATGCTTTGTTAACTCTTCCAAAATATCAAGTCCTCAATAATAACTAAATCAAAAAGTGTCAATAGAGAAGGATTAGTGGGAGTAACTTTAATAGTTACATTTCAGAAGGACAAGAAGCTGTTGTTTACTTTCTTAACTGGTAGAATAGAAGAGGATAAATGTTTGATTTTATAATGAGTTTTATTTTTTTTAAACTGTACTGTTATTGCAGTGATATGAGAGGTAATGGGAGAGGGCAGCAGTCTCATGTTAATGTCCAATTTCTATTTGCTGACCTTTCTTAGAAGACTATAAAGAAATTTTGTCAGACTCGGATCTACTTGGGCTTGTGGGACCTACCTGAAGGTGTGGTTTTGCAAATCAGAACCCAACCTGTGAATTCTGATGCATCTGTGGGTTCTGATCAATGAGGGTTTTGAGAGTTCTGACTGTTACAAACTTTTTCTCAGCTTTTAAACTGGATCTTTTTAATATGCCCCTTGCATACTTAGTTGAAGATATGATTATTCTCTTGATTGACTTTGTTGATGGCACATCAATCTAAGTTTGCTGGATTTGACACCTATGTATTGAATGATAAAAGAATAGTTTGTTCTTGCTAAGAAGCAACCATTTATTATGCATGATATGGCAAAATGGATTTATATCCCTTCAAAACGCATTTCCTCTAATCTCTTGATTGCTTAGATCACTATAATAAAAATGCACTAAAGAACTGAGACCCGAGTCTAGCAATTTATATTTGCTTTTATTTATTTTTTCTTTCATTTGTTACGATCACAACTGATTTCTCAGCTAAATTTCCTGAGGGGTAAAATCGAGAAGGAGGGTTCCATGATACAAAGTCATGAACAGATGCAGAGCTGCAAAATACAGCTGCTGTCCCCAAATTTTGTGGTTGAATTAGCGAGGTGGATGTCACAGGTGAGCTGTTCCCTGTGGCAGGAGCTTTTCAGGTTCTCCCTTCTCATCCCAAGGGTTTTTCTTGCCCCAGGCAGGCTGGATGTTTTACGAGGGGGCAGAAAAGGATCTTGCCAGAGGTCTCACCCTACACCTCCTGATGAGAACAGAACTCCAGATTCCCTCCAAAATGGGGCTGGGAACAATTTAGAGGAGTCAGATTTCTGTTCCTGGGAGGGGAAGATGAATATTTAACCTGTGGGGTGAGACTGAGTCCATGAGGAGCCGGTGGCAGAGGCCAAGCCAATGCATCACTTTTCTGTGATGCTGAGTTGAGCTGAGGGAGTCAGATCCAGGCTTGGCTTACAGTATCATTTCTTCTCTTTTCATGCATGATTTTAGGTGTGCAGAGTCCCTTCAGTTAATTAAAAGATTGACTTAGTCATATGCAGTCGCTGAACCATAGGCAAAACCTTCGAAGTGTGAATTCCGTGCCGCGAGAAAAGATATTTTTAAATATTTGCTCATCAGAAATATTTCTCAGTTGCTGTCACCTGTTGTATTGAAGTGGATCCGTGCCTGGTTTTGCCTTCCCTTCCAAGTCCATCAAATAAATAGTCTTTAAAGTCAGCTAGGAAAAAAAAAAATAAATTACATCTCTCTTGTATCAGGTGTGTACAGATGAGTGTGTGGAAAACCACTTTCTGGTGGTTTTGTCAACCAAAAGGAAATAAAAAGTGCCATTTTTTTTTTTTGGTGCTGTAAGGAAAAGAAATGTGCTAATAGAATGGCATTTGGCTAATAGTGCACAGATAAAAACTGGGTCATGGCAGCACGGGTGGAAAGGGCAGAAAAGAAAGAGAGAAAATTATTTCATTTGTGGGTGAAGGTCATCTGGAATAAGTGATTTCGTATTTAAAAGGCCACCAAGGAGAAAACTGATGAATGTTAACATATTTTTATATTGCTTTATTTCATTCTTTTTTTTTTTTTTTCTTTTCTCATTTGTAATGCTTCCGTGGTCAGGAAGTTGAGGTAGGTTCTTCACGTTTTAACTTGTAAATATCCAGAGTGAATCAAAGTGTTAATAACATAATTCACATTCCACTTTTTGAACTCTTATGCTCAATTGTTTGTATTGCTACAAATGAAATGTGTTGATACATGTTAATTATGAATGTGTTAATATTAATTAGCATGTTAATATGAGAATTACAGAAGGCATGAGGGGTTTGAAGCACGTTTTATCTGTCCTAGTAGAAAGCTCAGAAATGCAGAGATATCAGAGGTATCAGAGTTCCTCCTTCTAACAAAAGTCATTTCAGGGTAATGTTATAAATCTGGGCACCTTCCAGAGTGCTGGCACAGAGCCTGTTCCTAAGGCAGAGCTTTAGGTGTGGATTTAAATGTGACAGAGATTTTCTGCCCAGCCGTGTCCCAAGAGGGAATTGCACCTTGGTGGTGCCAGAGCCGCTCAGCTTCAGCTCTGCCTGGTGATGATGCTAAAGTGGATCCCCAGTGCTGAATTTTGGGTCGTTGTGGTTTAATCCCAGCCCTAAATAACACCCAGCTGTTCACTCACAACCCCCAACCCTCCCTGCTCGCCTGGGTGGGACAGGGGACAAAAAAATGGTCAAACCCATCAGCTGAGATAAGAACATTTTAATAGTTAAAATGTAATATAATAATAATAATGGTAACTAAAAGGCATATGATAAAAAGGGAGGAATGAACCCCAAGAAAGGCCATACAATTATCACCACCTGCTGACTGCTCCCCAGCTCTGATCAACCCCTCACCCCTTTCCATACTGGGAATGAAGCTCCAAGGTGTGGAATATCCCCTGGCCGGTTTGGATCACTTGTCCTGGCCCTGACCCCTCCCAGCTCCTCCCTCAAGAAACACAGGAAACAGAAAAGTCCTTGGCTGGGAGGAAGCAACAACTCAAACCATCAGTGTGTTCTCACCATGATTCTCATCCAAAATCTTGGCTGAGAGGAAAATGAATTCCATCCCAGCCAAACCCAGGAAAGTTGCCCAACTGGCATAAGTTATTTTGAACTGTATTTCTCTAATGTGTGTATACTCATTATTTACTTCTATAAATAATAATGGGGTTTATGTATTGAAAATCTCAGAGGTTTTCTCTATTTGACTTTTCAGGCTTTTTTATTTTTTTCTCCCTCCTATTTTTTCGTGTGTGTTTTCCACGTTATCTCACTGTGGTTTCAGGCACATTCTAAAATAAACATAGTTTCGATTTTCAAAAAGGAATACTAAACAGGTCTGCAAGAAGGAGGAGAAATAATAGGTTTAGAGATGAGATAGCTGTTTTGTAGGTATTTTTGTGAGGAAGGTGCATTTTTTTGTAAAATATTCCTTTGATACTGAAATTGAGATAAACCCCCTTACCAACCCTTATTTCAAAACTGGCTCCATATGCCACCAGCATAAGAAATCTTTCTTTGGAGTTGAATTATTTAACAGTTTCTGATGCTGAAAACCCAGCAGCAAAGCAACAACTTGGAAAAAAAAATGTAAGGAGGCAAAAAAAAAAAAAAAAAAAAAGAATATTTTGTTGCTGGAAAAAAATTTATTCTGCTAAAAAAACTGAAAACACATTCTGAAAAGTGATTAATGCTTGGTGAATTTAGCAGTACATCATCATCAATTACAAAGAATTGTATAACCATGAGGGGTTTTGTATTAACAAAACTGTGGAATTCAAAGGAGAGTCTGTGGTTCTATTCTGGTACCAAACTGCACTTGGGAAGAAAAAAAATAGGGATAATTTTGATGTATCTGAAATAAATTATGGTGTTATTGTGGAACATCCTCACTGTCCACGAAGTCAATGTAGAGACCAATGGATATACTGGGGGAAAAAAACCCACATTTCCTCCTGCTTGTCATGCAGAATAAGAATAAAAAGCAGGAGAGCAATCCAAGTGTCCAGAACATCCCAGGTTGAGTTGTTTGGATGGCAGGAGAGCTCATGGAATTCAGTGTGCTGGAGATAGATGGTGAACCAAGCCCGATGGAAGAAATAATTTCCATGTCTTATTCCCCCTGATGGGTTTTTAGTTACCCTCCTGGCAGGAGAAAGAAATCTCGGTGTCATCCTGGACAGCTTGATGAATGCACCTCTTTAGTGGCATCCCTCAGGAAATGAATATAGAATAGTGGATATATTAAAAAGGAAACAAAGATTAATATGCAGGAAAATATCACAGGGTTATGGAGATTTTCTGTGCTTCCTCCCCTCAAATCCATTATTCTGTTGTTGTCTCGTCCTCTCAAAGAGGACACAGGCAAAATACACAGAATGGGCTGAAACTGAGATAAAAATTGGGCTTGAATCCCAGTTCTTCAGGACTAGGGTTGGTGGTGCTCTGGAGGGGAAGCTTTGCCTTCAGATACTTATTTGCTAAGCATGCAGCACAACTTTCCTGATTTGAGCTAAATATGCTGGCATCAAAAGATGAGCTCAATCATTTGTAGTTTAGTTGTGTAAAATTGTACTGAAAAAAAAAATGATTATGTTTCATCTGAGTTTTCTTTTTTTTTTTTAATCCCCATTTAGGATGATTATTTCAGAAACTGGAATCCAAACAAGCCATTTGATCAAGGTAAAGTGAGTACACGTTGTGTGGTTGTCTTTCAGCTGTTTTGTCATGTCCCTACATATAGTTTATGCCTTTCTTCTTCAATCTGTCCTGTGCCTTAGTCACATCTTAGTCACAGTTTGAAGTGGTTTATGTGTAAGGGTTTGACTCATCTCTGTGGTTTTCCCCCATGTTTTTTAATCCCCACCCATTCCAGTTGATATTTAATGATGATGATGTGTGCTCAGAAATATCCTCTGTAACCGTGAACCTCGGTTTAACAGGCAATTTAAACCTGGGATCTTCACAACCATTTTGCTCCATGTTTAAGACTTTGCTAAATTAATGTCATAAATGTAACTACTGCATTTCCTGACGCTCAAGGGGCCAGTTCTTTGAAGCCAGTTGTATATATGCTGCTGTTTCAGATGCAGGTTCTGTAAATGGCATTCTGCACTTTGTCTTGGTGAATTTTTAAGTTGTGGCGACAATTTCCAGGGCAGACATCAAACAACAGGGGAAAAAAAAGCAATTAAAAAATACTCTAATTGTTGTGTCCAGGAAAGCACAGGAAACAATAGCCATAGCAGGACAAAGAAATTCCAAATCACTGAAGTGTCTTGGAAGAAAATACTCTTTGGAAGACTCTGAATGTGCTTTTGAAAATTTCGCTTTATTTCTTTGTTTCGTAGCCAAACATGTTCCATGTATTGTCTGTACTCACAGGAGTATCACTGGGGGCTTATACCTGTTAGAGCTGAAGGGTGTAGATTCTCTGTCTTTATGGAAATGGGACTTCAGTGCCAAAGGCAAGGGGAAGTTGATGCTTTTGTCAGGACACAGATCCACAGAGATTTTTCAAAGGCATTTGAAGGATTTAGGATTACAAATCCCATTGACTTCAAATGGAACTCATGCTCCTGCTGCTTTCAGAGGCCTTGTGACCCTCTGTCTTCCCAAGAGGGAAAACAAAGAAGGTAAATCCTGGCAAAGCACATTGCAGGCAGATTTTGAACTGACGTGCTCTAAAACTGTCTTGTTCGTTGTTGTCGCTGCCGTGTCTGACTCTGGGCTAAACCACAAATCGTGGCAGAGAATCTAAAGCCACTCCTGGATACCTTGAAGGGATACAAACAGTCATCTGTCTGCTGAGGATTCCTGTCACTCTGTAAAGAAAAGGATCATTTCTCTCTCGTTGTGGAATTGCTGTGACACTGTGGATGGTGTTGGTCAGGGCACAGAATGCAGATGGAGCGTTGCACTGCGTGCCTTGCACGGGCATCTGTGTGCTCTTGCCTCCCTTAAATCTTGCAGATGGGTTTGATTGGGCCAGTGGATCATTCTTTTATATAAAGATCATTCTTTTATATGTTTTTATGTAAACATGTATGCATGTAAATGTGTGTAAATGTATATATACTGCATATGAGTATATATAGAGAGAGTGGCATTTTAATGGGCACTGCTGAGGCAAAGGAAAGAAGGGAAGCTTTCTCTTTTCCAGAATTTTGCCACCAGAGGTTTAATTTCTGTAATTTTCCACACAGAGAAAAAAAATAGTCCGAAGGGTTTTACGTAGCACAAGCTTCAAGACATCCCTGTCTTGATATTTTTTCCCATCCTGGTCCTTTTGGCTTTGGGGTGTTTAAATGCCCCCTGTGCTCTTCAATGCTTTTGAAGATAGAAAAGCTTTTATTTTGTATTCTTTGGGTTTCTGAGGTGCAGAGAGCTGGTGCAGATCCTGTGGTGAGGAGCCCCAGCTTGCTCCTGTGAACTCAGTAGCAGCTCTGTGTTCTCACCACACAAGTGTGATTTCGAGAGATACCCCAAAGGCAAATTTTAACCTCACAACACGAAGGTTTTTTCTTAGTGACTGAAGAGAAAAAACTTCTCCAGTGTTGATGAAAGCAGATTTTGTGTTTCATGAGAAATCAGAGTCTGGTCTCACCGAGGTAAAGGTAACTCGTGTGAACGCCCCACTCTTTGGGACAGGTTTAAAAGTTTGAAACCCACTTCTCGATTCTGAATCTAAAATCCTGTTGGAATATTCCAGCTGTGAAGTGTTGATGTAGAGGCAGGCTGTGGAACCCCACTGAGCTGGGAGGACAGGGGTGAGGAGCAGCTGAAGGTGCCTGGTACCTGCCAGAAGGGACCGTGCCAAGGCAGCTGGAGGGTTCAGTGTTTAACAGATTTAAAAACCAACAGCAGTCAGAGGTTTGGAAAGTCAGCAGAGTTCTGCCTTCTAGGCTTGTACTTAATTTGCATCTTTTAAAGGAGTCTGTTGGGTCCAACCAACTCTGTGTTCTTCTCTAACAAAAAGCTGGCATTATTCAGCAGGTTGAATGATTTAATTACACACTGAAAAACAATAGTGCAATGAAGCTGTCTGCTTTCTGCTTGCAGTGTGGAGGGAAATACCTGAGTGTGTGTCTCAAGCAAAGAAATACCTTGTTTTGTGAGAAAGCATTCCTGGCTTTCACTGAAACCACCCCTGGGGAGTCACACGAGGTATCTTTGCATAACAGGCCTTTTCAAGGAGAGTTGGCTCGAATGGTTCAGCTGCAGCTCCCAGGGCTCTTGAGTGACCAGAATTTATTTTGAGCTCAGCTACCAGCCCAGCTTTTTAGTCATCTTTAACCCAGGAAAAAAAACCAATACAAAGGTGAGCATCTTACCAACAGAACCCAGCTAATGAGGCATTTGGGCAGCAAAGGCAGGAGAGCGTGAGCCTGGAAATGATTGCAGGTCATTAATATTGAACTCCATCCTGCCAGAGCTGCAGGAGCAAGAAAGCAGAAGAGTGAAAGGGGCAGGTTACTCAGGATTTTAAAATATGAATCAAAGGATTGGGGTTTTTTTTTCCTCACAAGGTCATTTGAGAGTTCTTGGCATACTTTCTTAGTCTTCTTCATCCACAGTGAAGAAAGAAAAGAGGGAATCAGGGGAAAAAGTTTAGCATGGCATTCTCAAGTTAGAGATTTTGGTATATGTCTGATATTCTGCACCTATTCAGAGCTGCCAGAAAATTAGCTCATTAAGACTCCGTGGATTATTGTTAAATAAAAAAAAGATTTAGATCTTTTTGATTAGATTTTCTGATAAGAAACAGTCTGAGATTTCCTTCTTGTCTTTCAGCCTTTGTCTGTCTTTTCAGTGCCTCTTCCAAATCCTCTTCCCTGGCAACTGAGAGATCTGGACAGGGATGTTCCTTGTCAGGGCTTTCATCATCTGCCCTAAGGGAGGAGGGAATGCAAAAAGTTCAAAATATCCAAAATCCTTACTCTGCTGTTGTGTGAGAAAATCTTTATCTGCCTGAACTGGGCCTGTCAATGGCTGGCTCTAATGTCAGACACACTCGTGGAGGCTCCAGCATCGCCATTAATTACAGACATGAGCTCTCATCTCAAAGAATTCCCCTTGAGCACTAAAAGTCTGAAATGGCAAAATTCACTTCCACTTTTGACGAGGAAACGCTGCTTTTGAGTGGATTGCAGCCTCCAGCATGGCATAACCTGTGACTTTCCCAGCCCAGCAGCCCCGTGGAGGTGAATTTGTCGAATTTAGAGCATGGTATCTCAAGATGAATGTGTTGGTGTCCATCCTTCCCCTCCTTCTGCAGCCAGTTGTACCTGTGTCTTTCCAGTGTTTAAATCCAGAAATGCCCTTCTGCAGCTGTGCAAGGGGAAAAAAAAAAAAAATAGTTTGCCTAAAATTCATAAGCCTTCCAAAGCAAAAGGAATGATAATGGGAAGCCTGCGAAGCAGGAGGAAAATCACAGAACCTGCAATTATTTTTGAACATGTAATTTTCTGTTAGCCCAGTTAAGATGTTCTTTCAGAAAAGCCTGAATAAATTCCTTGCAGAGAGATGTTTAGTACTGTACACATCTCTAGCCACAAATACATGTTAGTTTATAATAAATGTTTTCTATTACTGTGCCTCAGATGGCAGATTTCAATTGAATAACTTATTTTGCAATTTATTTTTTGACTGTGCCTGAATTAGTTTTAGAGGCTTATTCATAGCACAAGTGCACATGAATTATGTTTTGTAAATCTTCAGTAAATCAGTCCAATTTTAGACCACGCTAACTGAATCAACCAACAACAATAGCTGGGATGCAGCACATGAAATATCTTCCCCCAAATGCACTTGGAGCACATATGGCTGCTCCCATCCTCCAGGCAGAGCCACGTGGTCCTCTTTGTATGCCAGAAGTGTAATCTTAAATTCTTTATAAGCTTGTAAGCAACCAATTTTGTCATTAAATATGGCATGAGAAGTGACAGGGCTGGGGCCTGGTGTGTGATTGCATTATGGCTGATGCGCTGCGAGCGCTGATCGATGGGTTGCTTGTCTGGAATTTTATTAGCACTTGGGGAGCACTTGTTAGTTTTGTCAATAACGGTGCTGGCTTTCTTTTCATATCTCTGACTTCCCTGGCTGTGGAGCAGATGTGATTTTTAAAGGGAAGTTCGTGCTTTTGGGGAATATCACAGAACCCAACCCTGCTCTCTTTGGCATCACTTAGGCGAGCAGAGGTTCCCTCTCTTTACCTCAGTTTAATATGTAGGAATTCAGTTTTGGTGACCCATCTAAACCTTTAAAAGTTATTTGTGTGTGGACCTGCAAAGTTTCCTTCCTTATTTCCTGTGATTCTGTGATTTGCTGCAAGAGAGGCCCCAGTGTGTTATCCAAAGTAGCTGCTTCAGTTTGTATTCTGGTTTAAGAAGGGCAGACCAATCAAGGGCAAAGACTCCAACTTTGAGGTGTTATTTGACTTAAATATTGGATGGTATGGCATCTGCATGCCAGTGACCTTTAAATCACTAACCAGTCAGAAGAGTGGCTTGAACAGTGTTTAAATATATTTATGTGCTTGACAGTTAATGGGGGATTATTAACTGTCATTTGGCTCTAGCTGGAGAAAAGGAACTCCTGTGGAGAATAAAAGTAGAAGGCAGAGTGGCCATGGCCATAAAAAGGCATAATGGAGAATTTTTAGGGAGAGAACAGCATCAAAA